GTAGTTTGTGGTTCGAATCCGGCCGCGGTCGAAATTTTCATCTCACTTCCAATCACCATCCAGTATAAATTCTTTGAATAGCGTTAATATAACAGTTTATGAGAAGAATATTAGTAACGAGGAAATTTTTACACTGTTAGTTAAACTACTGATCTGAAGTTATTTATTGTTGCAAAGTTGATAATTAGGTTCTGTAATTTCCGGAATAGTCATGCATTAGAGAACTGGCCATCATTCACCATAGTGCCTTATTTACTTATCAAATTGTTGGGGGAATATATCATAACGATTTTAGAAATACACGAGAGTATATAATATGACTAGATAGCATAAATGATTTATTAATGCAATATGGGAAAGCAGAAATTCAATGCAATATATTCCGTAAAGGAAATGAGGTAACCTAAAGTTCATGCAGGTCACCAACATTATGTAATGTGATCTGGAAACGAACAATGACATAATTTCACTAGGAAGATCATTTGAAAATTTGGGTCATTTATAACAACAGTCAATGTAGAGAACAAAGAGGATCAGTGTTGATTACATCCTAACCGAGACAAATGTAGGTTATTCACTGATTCTTACTAAATAAAAATGACAAGTTATAAACTTTACATTGCAATAGACTGTATGAAGTAAAGAAACATTGAGTTTAAATTTATTAATTATTTAGAATGTATTTTCAACATCCAAATCATCCTCAGGATTCTGTAGAATGTACCCTACTGAACTATTGATATCACTAAGTCTTTCCGATCACAAATTTCTAAGAACATGTTCATCAAAGTGTGTAGATGCCTATCATTCCCTCCTCCCAGAATACACGGTTTTATGTGTACACATAAATTGGTATCTGCCGTTGGAGATGATATTTGACAGATATTTTCCCCTTTAGATTTACATTATTGAACAGCCTGTCTAAAAATTAGGTATTAATCTTGCTGCTTAGGATATTCTCTTGAGTGCATCTCTTTTCTTCTTATAAACAGTGCCATAAGTTTTGAGTAGGTGAATGTATATTGAATTTTTCTCATATCTATTCTCCTCATTTCTAGAATAGAGTTCACTAACTTACTTCTATTTGGAGTCTCTAAGGGTAACCATTTCCTCGAAAAACATTTTTTTATTATTGTGCACTCTTATAGGTTATCCTTTCAGTATAATTTTCGCGCGATGTGGCACAGTCATCAAGAACGCTAAAATCGTGAACAGACTGCGCATTCCAAGTATTGTTTTGATAAATAAATTTCCGACAGATTAAATTATTTCATCTTGTTATCTATCCGAAAAAGAACTTCTGTTATACATGTGAGAGATATTTGTAAAATCAGTTTCATTAGCATAATAACGGAAAGAGTTTATTCTTTTGATGATACCGCTCAGTTGATTAGTATAAACCGGAATTAACTTGCATACTTTATACTTTTATACTAGTTAGATGTCAATCTACGCGAAGTCATTGTTCGGTTTCAAGAAGCAGTGGAAGCTGCTCTTGTACACTAGAGATGTACCCTTACAAACTTACTTCCTATTTTACTTAGCAAATCAATGACTGCCTTTAGTCACGAGACAGTTACCATAACTATCAATAAATTGATAATTTATTATTATATTCTATGTAGAAACACTCGTTCATTATCTTTGGATTGTAAAAGGTTCCTAGCATGTGAAAACACAGTAACTTGACAATGATATCGTGCAATGAAAAGTCATGATATCAACATTATTTTTATTCAGCTAGGTCATATTATCAACTGCGAATAAAGATAAAATGTTTTATCAACTTATACATTACATTTCATGTCACTTTTATGAGATCACATAAATGTCAACCACAGTAAATGCTGATAATGGCGGAAATAACTGAAAATAATCATGACTGAATTCACCATCAATGTCAGTGTTCTTTGGGTGAACGTAAAATTAAATAATCTTATTCCAAGAAGCTTTCGATTATAAGATTTTGGATAATATCGAATGTTCTGTTAGACATTTCTGTTGAACTGGACTGTTTGTAAAAGAGGAGAGACATAAGAATGAAAGTGGAACCTGACACACAATAAGGTATTATGCAAAGAAGTGGATAGAAAAAGAGCTATGATAAATTGGAAAAATACGTGAAGGTTGGTGAGAATTGTCAAGATTAGGTAAATGACAAGTAGTGTATTCGCTCTTGACATCAATACCATCGAACAGAATCTATAACCATCGGTCATGTTGATTCGATGACTTCAGCTCTCACTCCACGCTTTCCTCATTGATATCTATAGTCCACAATTATCAAGATGATTTCACGCTTCGACCAAGCAGTCCTCAGATTTCTCACAATCTAGTCCTACTTAAATTGACATTTCTCATAGAGGTAGGGCGTGGCTTGAACTTACTTAATCTCCTAATGGACCAAACAGAGATTCCAGAAGAAGCAAGATTTACTAAGAAAAAAACTGAGGTCCGAAACCTGTGAGCCTCCTATTTCTATTACCGACCTCAATATAAGGTAAAACAGGGCTAAACAGAGAACGGTATAGATGCTCTTATATAGGAAATGGAATATCCAACAGCAATCATAATTTGCGTTAGTTGACAAAGACTGGATGGATTATAAGAATCAGAGCAAAGATAGCGTCAGCAAACAAATAATTCGTCTAAGTCAAACACCTAGATCAGAAAAATTGTCAACATATTCTACAACCACTTCATATAATTGAACTGAAAGCCTCTGGACACATCCTGAAACACTATCTTACATCTCGCTGGTGAAAACAACAAGCCAAACATCCCCTGAATTACATTCAAGGCTTCGAGGGGATAATGTTTCTCTCCAGCCTACTCACTTAACAGAACAATGTCGTGTACCTGTTCATTGTCAACAAGATGAACACATGGAAGTTGATGGATACCTGTAAAGTTGCAGGCATATGTAGATATGCACATATGCAAGTCTGTAACAAAGGTAAACAGGAACAGTGATAGCATTCACCTATGATGGGGATACCTGACTGTCATCGCTTATGAGGATAACTCTCAATCAACACTTGCACAAATGTGTCACTTTGGGTGGAGAGCTGTGATGGACATTACATAGTTTTCCATACTCACTTCAAAGTGCAAAAACTACAACAACACACCAAGATCGACAGACGGATGAAGCCTTCAAGTCAACAACTATGGCAAGTATTGAACGTCGACAACTGTGTGTGTAACTCTTCATTCCACAACCTGTCCAGTTGTGAAGGTGTGATTGATTCGACCTCGACTCAATATGAAACAGACTTGTCTTACATGAGTCAATCATTTTCAAGAGCTATCCATGTTTCGAATAACTGTGAACCTGAGAGTCATATATGCAAATTGGTCAACCTCATTCCTGTATATTTGTCACATGCAAACCTTTCTTCTTCCTTGTAAACTGGAATCATCAGAAATGTAGACAGGTATGAAAGAGATAACGTTGATCGGTGAACACCAACTGGTATCTCCCTTACTCATATCAGTGATTTCCCAACTGCCTCGTTGAAAGATTCCAGATGGCAAAGCAACGCACACTACTGCTTTGCATCATTTCACGTCTCAGACTGACTTGTCAACTTCCATGAATATCTATATGTCATTCAGGATCGGGTTGGATGTTGGCCAAATGAAGCTTGATTGTATGTCAGCTGAATTATTCTCCATATTGTTCCGCCTTATCCTGACGTGTTGTCACCGATCCATCCTATTGGATGATGTTCATATTAGTCATCCCCTTTGTGTTGCCAGTATTCTTCATAAGCCTAAATTGTTTCTGATTACTACCTGAAGTTAGCGCCTTCATCTCTCCTGGTTTTGCCACCCATCGCTACTCACAGTCATTGTGATTGCTTTTAGTCAGTTGATGTTTACGTTGTTTTCAAACTTAATTGTGATCGTATCTCGCTGAGGTGAATCTCCTCGAACTGATCAGTTCGTATGAGTTTCTGAAAATCCACCGGCGTTTGCTATGCTGTTGATTTAGGCTACCGTCTGTTTTTATAGCTGCCTCTAAATCACATTGAATATTTAGTCTGGATTTATCAGAAAAAGGATAGTTTTCATGTTTATATGGATGTTTAGCTGTCCTTCCTAAATGAACACTTGAAGTTCTCATCCCATATTCCAGCACACATGTTTCACTGCTGTCTGCTTCCTGAGACCAATAAAACGCAGCATACACGCATCCATACTAATCCGTGATTGCTATCTCAGTGTGTATAAAAGAAACAGCAGCATTTCTTTCACCAATTCACTTCATTGACAATTTAAGGCAATTTGAACTACCTACTTTCATTATTGATCTGATGGCAAACACCAGATGAATCAGTGCTTGTCGGTATGTTTGAAGATGGTGTTGTCTGAAAACAAGTGATCGTCAGAGCACAACTATAAGGAGAAATCACTATTGTTAGCTGGTTACCGTGGGATAGTGTAGATATCCCAAGAATGCGTTTATGATTGACCTAACTTCATTACGCGAGTAACGAAGTCACCTGATACTTTGATCATATTTAAACGTTTTGCTTTATGCAGCAAAATATACAGCTACAATGTTCAGAAAAGTCTTTTATTGATTCTCTAACCACATTAGGGATATTATATTGAATGAATTCCAGCAGATATTGTGAAGTATTAAGAAAAATTCTGTTCCATTTGATAAGTTACTCGGATTATATTCAACGCTATTTTTGAAAATCAGAAAATCTTGATCATCAAAATCCAATGGTAAACTTTACCATCATCACTTACGTCTGGATAAAGTCGGAATGCATAACGATTACATTCATTTCCACTCCTAAGTTTACCTTTTGTCAAAGTTTCCGTTTAAAATGTCAGGATATATGTTTTTATTCACCTTAAAATAGTATTTTCCTCATGAAACCTGAACATCCTGGTTGCAATTTGAAACTTATCTGGAAGTCATTCTTTTCGGTAGATCTTTATAGCTTCCTGCAATTGAAACAAGCCAACGCAGTGATTTTTTTACTGGAAACAAACAAATATATATCCCATCAATCAAAGTAGTAATTGACTGTTGGAAAAACCAATCGATTACAAACTTAGAGTTATTGCGATCGAGTACTTTAGATGAATTTTTTTGCAACTTTTTAAACAAGGATCCTAGTGAGGACTAAAAAGCAGATAGTTTTATGTCTTTAAAGAATAAGAAATAAATTCTTAAGTCAACGATTTCAATTTACACAACATTGTGGCAACATTGTAAAACTGAACAAGAGAATTTAGGTCAACTTTGAGGCTGAAGTCAATGACCTATCATTAAACGAATCATCTCAGTTGCATCAATCAACACATTGGTCATTGGAATCATTATCATTATTATTATCATTGCTATCATCAGTAAAGCAAATCAAATATGCAAACAAATAGAGTTAGAATAATCTGAAATGTAGAAACAGCACTAGTGGCATACAAAATAGACAGCTACTTGTGTTGATAGTAATCGAGTCATAATAACAAAAATCTTCTAAACACATATAAACAACGTGAAACGGAGTCCACGTCTCCCTGTTTACATCGATGACTGAAAAAAAATTGAATAGTAGAAAGATGTATGCTTGTTCTATTCAGTTAGTTTACGCCGTTGTAGATATGATTATTCCTCCCCATTGATATGGTTTGAAAGAGAATTCGTTATACACGAGATTAATTTCTCTTTAGATTTTTCCATGTTCTCTTTAGTAATCTAGATTGACAAATAAAAGAAAAATAATCATAGAGAAATGTTTACTGTGATTCAAAGTTTTTAACTGTACGTTAATTCAAGGCTGGATTTACTCGAATACACTTCTTTTTACTCGAGTAGACATACAGTAACATGTAAAATAAACTGGAATTCAGTTATTAATGACACATAAATAAAATTAACAATAAATACCTGATACCTAGATACCTGTTGCACAATAGGTTGCCCATTGAATAACGGGCTAGCGTTTGGAGCTATGAGTTTCAGTTTTGAATCTTGATGGAAACGAAGTCGCTCGATGAGATATAAATACATCCAGCTGAATGGTCCTAAGTAGGACGAAAAGCGCATCCTGTATTCTAAATCTAGCTTTATCTAGGCAGATAGTATACGAGTCTTTATTCTTAATTTGCAAAAACATTGTGACAGATTACTTGACTACCACGGAAATAAATGATAAAAATAAGGTGAAACAGCTGCTTTTAAGTCAGTTGAATACTACGCTAGTATTCTCATTCCTGTAATGTTTCTGATTAAATATCTCCACTGTTATAGCCATTTATGAAATTTATAATGACATGTTGTGTTGATATCTATCATTTCCTGTGGCTATCCAGGGGCGAATTGCTCGACCTCTGTCAGTAGATAGGCTCCTATGCGGATACCTAGATATTGCCATATATTCATGATCATTTGTTCATCTTAGTAACCAGCGGTGAAATTCAGGATGCGCGTTTTATCCTGAATTCCACAGTTAGTCACCAAGATGAATAGATCATAGTAACATGTTTCATAAAGACACTTTCAGATGATTTATTTACCGAGTCGCCAGTGCATTGAAGTACAATAAATTCATAGAAATGATACAGAATGACTGAATAGGTGATTGTCATGATATCCGCCTTAATCATCTTTTGGTTTTACTGTCACATGGTTAACAATAATTGGTACTATCCACTGAAGCTAGTTTTTTTTACTTGTTTACAGTAGTTAACTAGTCCTATTAGCAGTCTCTAGCAAAAGGAACTAGAAAATATGAGGTTATTTATCTCTTTATGACCAATCGGTCCATCATCATTCATTTAATTAGCGGAAAAAACAACATTCAGCATCACCTGTTCAATACAATTATTGCCATACGCCAAAAGACTTAAGTAAACTTTCAACATAAAGCAAAAAATAAATTCATGTCATGTTTATATCCATATACAGTTTTCAGTCATATCATACATACGCTTGAAGGATTCATGAAGGAAATAACTAAAATATGGCGAAGAGAACTAAGTACTTCGTATGACTGGCCTTACATTTACGTGAACCTGCTGTTAAAAATAGCAACAAGCAAAAAATGAATCAATTTACTTAGTTTTTAGGCATTTAGGCATTTACTACTGGCGAAAGAACCAAGAAGCATAAAAATTCTCACCAGAAAATAGAAGTTTTGATCCATAAAAGGAATAGACATGGAAATAATCAGAACACCATGTGAACTCATTGCTCACTTAATGAAGGTCAACCATCCAGAAACGAATTTTTGTGACACAAACTCTGTCCTACTTCAAAGATTCGAAAACTGCAATAGTCTATTAAAATTGTGTTCTGACAATCCCTAGACTCTAACTGCTAGTAATAGTGAGTGCCAAAACCAGGAGAGATGAAGGTGCTAACTTCAGGTAGTAATCAGAAACAATTTAGGCTTATGAAGAATACTGGCAACACAAAGGGGATGACTAATATGAACATCATCCAATAGGATGGATCGGTGACAACACGTCAGGATAAGGCGGAACAATATGGAGAATAATTCAGCTGACATACAATCAAGCTTCATTTGGCCAACATCCAACCCGATCCTGAATGACATATAGATATTCATGGAAGTTGACAAGTCAGTCTGAGACGTGAAATGATGCAAAGCAGTAGTGTGCGTTGCTTTGCCATCTGGAATCTTTCAACGAGGCAGTTGGGAAATCACTGATATGAGTAAGGGAGATACCAGTTGGTGTTCACCGATCAACGTTATCTCTTTCATACCTGTCTACATTTCTGATGATTCCAGTTTACAAGGAAGAAGAAAGGTTTGCATGTGACAAATATACAGGAATGAGGTTGACCAATTTGCATATATGACTCTCAGGTTCACAGTTATTCGAAACATGGATAGCTCTTGAAAATGATTGACTCATGTAAGACAAGTCTGTTTCATATTGAGTCGAGGTCGAATCAATCACACCTTCACAACTGGACAGGTTGTGGAATGAAGAGTTACACACACAGTTGTCGACGTTCAATACTTGCCATAGTTGTTGACTTGAAGGCTTCATCCGTCTGTCGATCTTGGTGTGTTGTTGTAGTTTTTGCACTTTGAAGTGAGTATGGAAAACTATGTAATGTTCATCACAGCTTTCTTGACTATCTCATATAATCATTGACATGCTGAAAAAGATTTGTGATCTGAAATGACGACAGTAAGTGTTGCGTATGTGAGATACCTATTGTCAGTTTTGCAGTCCATTTTGCTCCAGAGTCGTGCTGAATTTCGCAAGCTTAGGTGCTTTCAACCTTTCTGAGATTTGCTACCTCGCGTGTGGTTATCTGGTTGACTTTGAGTATGTAGATACCGTTGTGCTAAGGCCCGTTTTCTGAAGGGATGCATGAAGTTTTGTGCACTTCCAGATGAATTTTGAGAATGTTTTGTTAATTATTTTCACTCGTGATACGTAAGATGGTCGTTAAGGATTAATGTGCATGGACTTCTGTTTCAAGCATAGTAAGTGGTGTGGCAGAATATGATGGTATTGGTGACCTAAGGAGTTGCATTCAACAAATAATTTCCTTCTGGACGGAATCTCAGCATGGATGCGTAATTCCTGGCTTACATGTATTGATTGGTCACGGGAGCGCAGCCATTTTCATGTTGTTTACTCCTGAGTGCAGACCGATACATGTAAGCCAGTCCTAAAGGAGGTCTATTGCGGCCCGATTAGCTCAGTGGTAAAGTCGCTGACTAAGACACTGTGTGACACGGGTTCGAATCTCCGGCGGGACATCAGTTCCGTCGAGGTTACAGATACGCATTGCTGACGAGTGCCAAAAAGCACGAAACCTAGGTCCAGGGCTTCCTGCCGATTGCCTCCAACCAACTAACATCTACTAATGTGCACCGCGATGCTGAGCTTCCTAGCTATGTTGCCACACTGCAAACATGATTGATTGGATTCGGTCTGCACTCATGACTAGACAAAATGAAATTGGTTACACTCTTGTGACCAGTCAATACAATTATGCAGTTCTCCAAATCTATAAGTCTAGATCATCTACCTCATATTCAGCTTGCGTAGTGCATTTGATTTCAAATTAATCCTATTTTTACGTGTATCGTTGTGTCAAAAGTAGTTCAATGTTGATAAATGTTTTGACGATATCCATGCAACAAGTCGTTTTTGTTGCAGGAAGTTGGCATTTTTAATTTTATCGTAATGAAGTGCTTATATGCCATTATTTTGGGGAATATAGGGAACTGTTGCCTTCCATGGGATGTTGTTGTGTGAGATGGGTACAAATCAAACTTTCCAAGTATTATTGTAGTCAGAACAATACATGAGTCAGAAATGTGATTCCCTCTCTGTATATATATATATATATATATCAAATGCCGGTGTGAATATTGCAGTAGCCTTTCATACAGTGAAGAAAAATAAGCTGTGCTGCATAACTTATCTCGTAAACAAGACCGTATGATTGTGCACAATATCCAAGGAGACACTGGTAAAAGTACTTATGATATATCTCAAGATAAAAAGACGGGTGTTTCTTGTTTAACTTCGACTAGTAAGTGAGCGTATTTTAAGCTCATATGGCTTGATATCCGATGCAAAAACTTAACCGATATTATGCAAATGCATTTGTAAACGGTTTTCACAGGATGCAGTCGGATGTGTTTTTGACTGTATATCAACGTATTTCTATTATAAAATGCTATACAAAATAGAACAGTATACACTTTATTCCAAGTATAGCTCCTCCTTCATGAGATGAAGAAAAGTCTGGTGTGAAACAGGAAATCCCTAATGCATACAGACACGTATATATGCAATAAGAGTATGAGGCCATTGGTAGGCATGACTGAAGCGTGGAATAGTGTTCTTGAGGACATAAGACTCCAAAAGAGAAAAACGTTTGATAATTAATGAATATACCTTATTCTTACCTGCTTAGACAAATTTTTAAATCCTTCGTTAAGAGAATGTACTGCACTCATAGTTTTTTCAAGCTGTTTCCGCAGATTGTCAATTTCTTCAGATTTCTTCGGAGAGACAGTTTCCATGATATGTAAAGTCATAGCCCTTCGACGTGGAATCCATTTAAACTCACGTTTCTGTAAGTTAAAATACTATGTACTGTATGTCTGAGCAATTCAAAGATTTTTCCTAAGATATTCACCAATAAGTTATCTACACTACTAATAATCTGACAAACTCATCAACCTGGTGATATCATTTCGAATATACAATGACCAGATTCTAATTTCATTTATGTAATAATAGAATCAATGTAGACTTTTATTTTACCGTAGTACTACACATTCTTCAATACTATGTTGATTCCTGCTTGTTTAAACCTATGCGAGTTCCAAGCTATTTTTTAGCTATCCGTGACAAAATATTTGCTGGAAAGAAAGTTGCAACTGTTTTTTGAGTTATATCAAGATTAGAAACTATGCTTTGTGCTGAGTTCATATATTCAAGCAAGAGTGTTCTTGAAGCTGGCAGTTTTCGGTGTGAAGCATGGAAAAATATTCAACTCACTATCTTCATAACTATTAGGATAGTGATTTTTATATGGATCTTTATAGACATTTGCTATCAGTTAGACAGTTTGTTTGACCGTTTCGTTGTTGCTTTCATTCATATTTTGGTTAGAATTCAGTTATTTACTCAAAAAAACGAAATCAATGAATAATGCTAACCTGAATAACATATGGGATAAAAAGTATGCAATATTTTGAGAAAGCATTTATCACAGACTGACGTCAGTTGGAAAACCAATAAACTCCGACTTGGTGGCTGAATGCTTGAGGCGTTCACCGTGGAACTTGAAGATTATGACTTCGATACCTAACTGTGTTGGGCATGCGTAATGCTGAGGAGTTCCATACTAGGAGGAAATGGATGTCCAGTGCTACCAGGTTTTCAATGGTTCTCCAACTGATGTCAGTTAACAGTGAATACTGTCTGCAAATAAAAATAAATATTTATCTAAAAAATATGCATCATCTTCATAAGCAAAAAGCCTCAACGAGTTAAGTAGGACATTCAGGCAATTCGAGAGAGTTAATCAGTCATGAATACCGAAGTAATCACCATCAAGTAATAACCACTTCCACGGATAAATGCATCTTTTATCGTTCAAAGACTGAATCAAGCACACTGCTATATTCCCCTCAACACCAACATCAGTTAGACAGACACACAGAGAAATCAAAGTAGAAACTTTCAAAAAAGTTTATTATTCCATTTCCTACACTTGTCAGCAGTACTCTGACACAAGAAGGATGATATTGAAGTAGAGTTAAAAGGTGTGTAGTTTTCACAGTAAACCAATGTGAAGTGTTTTGTGACCGATGGACATCAAAATTTGTTTGAAATATATTTTAGCATCGTTTTTTATGCTTTCAAAAGTCACTTGCTTTTCAAGTGTAATTTAAGGGGAACTGCAACTACTACTAGCTGAAGATGACAGGAAAGCTGGTCAAAGAGATTGTCATTTTAGATAAATTCCATATTTAAAGGCAACATAAAGTTGTATAAACTGAGAATAACAGATTATGAAGAAAAGGCTCAATATAATCAAATAACTATGCCTCCTACTTCAAGATAAGTGAAGTGTGTTCACTAAAATATGTATTTCAGTGTTAAATAGTGGAAGTCAGTTGGCAGTAAGCCATGAACCTAGCTTTCCTACCTTCTGACACCTATCAGAAATACGGATTCGCAAACATCAGAGTTCTGCAGCCGCCCCTGTGATTTTAACCTGAATCAATTAGTACAGAAGTCGGCGACTTAACCATTAGGCCAACCATTAGGCTACTCAAGCCACAAGGTTTAGGCAGGCTAGTAGACAATAAATAGCTTACTATTGAAGACAATTTTTCACATGACCGTCAACAAGAAGAAAGAATAGTGACCCATGATTATTACCACTGTTGATCGATTTGGGCAAAGTTTAGCTAATTTGTTTACAGGGTTGATCAATTTTCTCACCTCTGTGAGGCACTAACAAGAAAATATATCTTCAAGGACAATAACAGACAGGTAAACACAAGTATTATAAGTAACGTTTTAGTTTATATTTTGGTAATATTTCAAGCAAAATCGCTGCCCGTGATCACAACAACTGTTAGGATATTTTTGCAATCTAGTCTTCACTCATTGTTCGTCAGCCTGTTTGTTCAATACACTGTTCCATAGAGTTGACAGTTGTGTTCATTCACCTTAAATGCATGTGTTGGGAGTGACATGGATAAATATTGTTTCTGTTATTTATTCTTTTCTCCCATTTGTTTGTGTTGAACTTCAGTATGCTAGTGTTATTCCACTCGATATTATGTTTTATCGTCCCTTTCATGAGCTGTTATCAATGAACATTTTCTCTAGATTTTTGTACATTCGTCCCTCTTTGGACTACCCCTCGGTTGATCTTCGACGTTCATACAATTTGGTTTCCAACGAACTTGATATTTGTCCCACACAGCTTGTCGGACAGTCTGTAGACGGTATTTTGTACACCACATTACTGTTGTCTAATGTTTTGACCGGATCTTTTAGATGGTTCAATTTATTTCTTATCAAATTCATTGGTTTGAATGCTGTGAAAATACCAGTCTTTCTAAGGTCTCTTCTAATTGTCTTCCTGTTGTTATCTTTCTTGTCGACTTTTGTTCCTTCTTCTTGAGGCAATATATTTTATGAATTGTTGTGAGTAGTGATTCTTCAATAATATCTTGAACAAGACATTTATTTATTTTCGTAAGTCGTCAGGCCACGTTGTTATTCTGCGTATCCTGTCTGCCATACCCTGTCTTAACCCTCTTTTTACTGTGGTTGGGTGGGCTGAGTGGTAATTCAGAAGCCTTTCACAAAACATTAGTTCCCCATATAGCATTTGTTTTACAGTCACATCTACTCTTTCTTTCGTTTTGCAGTTCGACATTCGAAATCCCTCCAAATCATTCTCAATTTCCACAGTGCATTTTATTGAGCCCAATTGACTGTTTATATGTGAATGGAATCCTTCAACACACTTCTTATTTATTATAACAAGAGTATCTATCATCAACATATCTTTACTGGACAATTTGAGTAGTTTTAAAGTGTTGTTTTCTCAAAAATCCACAAATATATACACTGTTATTGGTGAGATAGGCGATTCCATTGCTATTCCTTCTTATTCTTCATACAACTTTCCAGTAGGTGTGATCAATTTCATTGCTAAGCAGATTTCTACTCCACCTAATACGTCTTCTACTGCGAGTTGTGTCCTTTCTCTTAGACCTTCGTCTTCTTGTAGTCTTCTCTTTATTTCTATTGGTATTTTTGTGTATGGGCTGTTGATGTCAAAACTAACTTATATTTCTTCATCATCGAATCTGGTGTCACTGAGTTGCTTGACTAAGTATAATGGATCTGCTAAGCTTGTTTGTGAATCATTTTTCATTAGTTGAAATATTGCCAAAATAAAAAACTTATCATTGTGTGTAAACTCTGCATTAAAATTTTACGTATGAACAATAATCCACTCTACAATGCAGAAACGTTTCATTGATGTAGATAAAGAAATGTTTCAAAGTGGTTTTAATCATGAACTGATACTAGCAGTTGGAGACCCACTGGTAATGTCGGAGCACCAAACATGTATTATATTGATTTTGTATATCTTCTGCAGTGAACTTCATCCACCGTGTGAGATATCTACCTTAAACACAAAACTTTAATCAGTTGATTGGTTGACTAACAGATTTCTGTTATTATTTTGAGTGAAAATTCTTTAGAGAAGAAAATGCAGGGTTACTTTGCTGGGTAAATTTATTCATTCTGACAGATGTTTTTATATTAATAACGGATGAAACTGGAAACAAAACATTTAGGATTGATGAAACTATTCGATTCCGGTAATACTAAAGAAAATATGTATGATTGACAGTTTACAAGAAACTTTTTGTGTCTACATAATGAGCAATATTTAGTATATTATATATATTTTAATAAATGCTTATTTGTGAATGTCTTCACTTTCTAAAAATAACACAAAAAGTATAATGTTACTCCGTAATTTCTCTGATTTCTTATCTTAAAGTCTCTTCACATTATAATGAAAGTTTATGTAGATAACAATTCACTTAAAAAAACCATGAAATATCTGTTACTCAAATAAATGCAATTAGTTCATTTTCAGTGCTCTTATAGTCTTAACTATGAGCTATGTAAAGATAATACTTGTGGAAGGTGGTATTGAAAAAAGTGTGGTGGCCTATGAGAAACCATGGTCCATGGGTCTAATCATTCATAGTTTAAATAGTTGGTCTTGGTTTTGAACTTTACTTGCTGTGCATTGTTCAACCGAGCAGTGGAATAACGTGTACCTCAGAGTCGAGTATTCAGACCATGTATGTACAAAGTCAACTTTCACAGTTATTATCATTATACGCTGGGGTTATTAGATAAGCAGTCATTAGGGTTTATTTATTGACGAATAATTTAATCATTGAAAAGGACTTTTGTTGAAAAAGTGTAAGCATTAATTGATTTTTCTGTTAGAAATCAGTCAACACTCTGTATAAAATGATGAAATCTTTTTGAAAGTGTCCACATGCCTACCTAGCAGTCGACTGCAAACTAAGAAAGTAATATACAGCTGCATTGGTTTATCTAAGAAAATTATACCTGTAAAAGTTATTCTTAATTTTATTTCAAACTACTCTCTTTACTAATGAGTTAAGCAAATAACTGCTGAATAAGTTTAACAAAGCAAAATGAATATCCAGTCTCGAAGTTTGTAGGTTATCGATTAATTTATTACAAGCAACTTCATAATACATAGATTTCAGCCGAAAAAACATTGACCACTTGAGAGCATCAAAAATCTGTTGATGAAATCTTTAGCACCATTCCATATTCTCGCTTCATCTGAATTACAAAATTCAATGATTAATACTTCTGACTGGTTATATAACATACAATGTCTACGGTAAATGAAGCCAATTAAAGAACAGCACTCCTTCGAAAAAACTATTAAGTATTCAGTAAAGACATTTTTTGTGCGTAAAACTCAATGACTTACTTTAATCAGTTTATTAATATATATTTCTGGTCCAGTTAGATCATTAACCGATTTTGTTTTTAAATAAATTATAAAGTATATATAATGCCAGACATTATGATCCACTTCAACATGTTCATCAAAACTTGTATTGGAATGATCAAATGCAGAACGGTGTAGTCCTTAGAAAAATTTTAAACATTTTTTTTGAAAACACAACAAAATAAGCAATGTCATACAGATGAAAAAAAGCGATCAAAGTATTACAATCTCATGACTGTTGAACGTAGCACAATGTTGGTACAAAACTGAACTAAATGAGTAATTAACTTGTAAATCCTTCTTTCACTTGATTTTCATCAATCCAGTGACAGTTTCAATTTTCCAACAGCATTTTATTGAGATCAGATAGAGATTTGGGGAGTGGGATAACTGTTTTGTTCTCAACACGAGTTTACTTCGTGGGGCTAAACACAAATGTCAACTGAAAAACTTTGGGTTCAAGAACAAATACAACACTAGTGAATCGCTGAATATTTCAGGAATTCTACAACTAGATGAATCTGTTCTGTTTTAATTGGCTGGCGGTAATCGACAGAAAGCCTTCAGCCAATCAACATCTATCCTGATGATGACTCTCCTTCCTTAGCAGCTCCATGTAAGTTCTTTGATTGAATTCGATCGGCACTTAGGACTGAACAACGTTAAATTGGTCATTCTCCAATGATCAAATCAATCTTTTCAGTTTTATTATGTGGAACCTACTGGACTTTATTATAAAAGGCGTAACTACTACCTCAGTTAGCTTTATTTTGGTAAGGTAAGGCATAAAATATGTCAACTTTTCCAGGGTATGTGTAAGTTATACCAGTAACAGTAACTAGTTTTCAATTAAGTATGACCTACTGAAGTGAAATCAGGCAGTTGATGAGGGAATATTTCTGATTAGACCTGCAGATTGATTATTTTAAAATTTTTGGTTTCGTATATAAAGAGATAAAGAATGCTGAGGTGAGTAGAAGGTTAGGAATAATTGTTGTGGGTAAAAGAAAAATTTGCCAAGGTGTAATTGATAGTCGTATTGACATGTCCTATAGCCTAATGGTGTCATACAATGCAACGGCCTTATTTACGCGCATACCAGTTACTGAAACGGCTGATAAATTTCTTTAACAGACTAACCTATTGGCCTAGTCCGGAGGTGAGATGAAACATCTACCAGTTCTCTGCACAATGTGTCCAGTCAAGGTTCAATAACAAGCCACATTGTTAAATTGTAAGGCTCGCAACTTTCAAGAAAGATTGTTGAGCAGCTAAGAACTACATGTCAATCTCATTGGTTATGTCGAATTTTATCCCTTTTTCTAACAATGCTCTCTAAAAAGCTAGGAGTGGTAGACTTGAAGGGTTCACTATGGTACCCTTGTAGGCTTTTTATGTTCAATGTAGCTGACAGGTTTCCTAATTTCATCTTGAGTTTATATTTACGCGAATGACAAACAACAAGAAATTTATCAAATAGTAGTTGACACTGATGAGATGAGAACCTTAGAGTTGCAATTTATGTATCTAAGATAAAAAGGAGTTGAGCTCGCTCAAAAAGGGCAGGGATATTGCAATTACATCGGCGCACAACGGTTACGCTAGGCAGATTGGACTATTTCAGATGGACTTCAAGGTAAAACAATATTCAGGAAACTTGAATCTAACCCAAGTGAAATATAGGAGAAGAAAATAAGGAACCAATTGGAAGGACTTTTCAAAAAAGCATAAATTAGTAGTGTGGGTGTGTGTAGAATGAGATAAACGGACTCATACTTCCATGGTTCTATAGAAGACTGAAGACCCATAAACCAGATATATGTCTTTAACCAATTGTTTCAATCCCAGAAACACAAACATACAACTTAACAAAATTCTCGGCATAAAAGCTGAGCCATCTTGTCAGTAAATCAACCAACTCAATCAGCTTATGCACTTAGTTGCTAAACAAAACCAACGATATCAAAACACGCGAAAGGCAAACAGTGATATTTGGTGTTAGAACTATCTTGACACCGATAACTAATAGGTTTACAACGGAGATGATTATGAGCAGGCTTTAAAACGACAACAATCAACAAGCTTAGACCTGTGCAGACTACAAAAAGTAATACATCTAATAGGCCTTTGCGTATATAAACACGTTTTCATTTCAGCGGAGGAATATATGAACAAATGATAGGAATTACAATGAGATCATCAATCTCAGGGATCATCACAGAAGAAACTATACAACGAATGGAGTTATTAATCCTGTCAATCATCATAGTGGGTGTGATGCTTGAAAGACACATTTACCATCCAAAATAAAAACGATCTAGAATCTGCTCAGACTGTAGTCTATAACATTTTCAAAGGAATTGAATTCACGAAAGAAAAAGAAAATAACGGACAGATTGCATTGGTAAACATTTTGACCCTAAAAAATGATGATAAGCACCTTGAAACTGTATTGCTTAGGAAAACAACTTATACAAACCAGAGCTTCAGTTACAACTGAGCCAGTCCAATACTGCACAAGAAAAGCTGTCTAGCAACTCTATTTCGGATAGAAGATATAAACTGCATTACAGTAGAATCAAAGAAATCAGAGAAGAAAGACTGGTTCAATATCTTCAAACTCAATAGCTACCTAAAGAATGTTTTATCAAATTGAAATGCACAGCTAAAATCAACAGAAAAATTATATACATCTTCGGCTGTGAAATATCGATCAATAACTTGGAAAGGGTATACACAATTAGTATTTTAATTACTTTTCAAAAATACAAACGTACAAACTAGAAGACTAAAGGCATTTCAGGGAAACCGTCACTTTGAGTCATAATGGATAGTGGCTAACAGTGGAATCCAGGACGTGCATGTCATCTTCTTCGGGGCTCATCAGTTGTATGTACTTGCCCCACAGAGAGTGATAGTGTTCCCACTAAGACTGGAACCCAAAACTGATTACTCCAGATATCAAAGCATTATCCAGTATACCATAGAGTCACGGTGGCCGATTCTTGTGTGACGAGTATAGTTCTAATATTGTTACTTGTCATTCATTTTGCATAAACCATATGGTCCAATAGTTGACATCTGAGCACTCTGAATAATATTTTAACTAAATCCCCAATTATTTCTAAAGGTTATTTTTTGTTCATCATAATTAATGAGTGATTGACCATCTGACTTACCGTTAGTGAGAAGGTGCAAACTTGCAAAAGCTCAGTGCCTAAACGTGCGTACAGATATTGATAAGATACAATATAAAGACAAAAAAGAGCCAAGAAACCAAACAATTCTAAGTAAAAGGTGAGGAATGAGTCATATGAAGCAAGTAATGTGACAACAACTCATCTAATCATCACAAAGCAGCAAGTGGAGACCAGAAAAATTTGAGATATTTTCACATGCAGTTTTTTATTTTTCATTGTCATTCGAAAATTGGTTATAAATCCTAGCCTCTGTTGAGTCATCAGTGAGACATGTAAAGGTTGCATAGATAAATTTTATGAAAATCACCAAAACACATTCCTACAGTGAAAATGCTTTTTTCGAATACTAGTAGTCACATTACAGAAGCAAAGAAAATAACAATGAAAGTAAAACGGAAACTCATTTCTTCGTTTACATGTTTTTCTATAACTTTTTAGGTTTAAAAACAAATAGTCTGAAGGTAAACACAAGCTTGACTATAGAGAGCATTGTCTTTAATTTGAAAAATCTATTCAACATATGATTTACATTTTCTTACCTAGATGTAGATTAATTTTGGTGAAAAAATGATTTAGCAATATATGATGATTTATTATTTACTTTATAGGTGTTTGTTTAGCTCAGATTAATATACAAATCAGAGATAAGTTAAAACATCAAGAAAGTAGTCTTACTGTCGTTTTCCTATGTCAGTCATATTATTTTTAGCAGGATAAAAATAATCTCTACTATTTCTTTGTGTTTATATGTATATAAACAGCTATCATACGACCCTGACAGTTATAGTCATTAACAAAAATTGGCCATTATTTCATCACCTTACTGAATACACCCTGAGATCAAATCAGATTGATATGAAAACAAAACGATTGTATTTCTCTTTCAGCTTGGTGAATCAATGAGGGATGATTCAGTAGCGAAAAATATCATAAGTAATCGTGTAACTGACTTATAATTTTTTTTGTCCAGTGGATGATGCTTTATTTCATTTTTATATCAACTAGTCTTCCTTATATAGATGATAATTTGAACATATTATATTTTGGTAGAGACATATATCAAGTGAAATAGAGCTTTAAATGATTTAAATGGTTATCAACATTTTTACCTAGCTAACAAAATCTACAGACTTGTTCTAGTGGTGTCTGATTGTGTAGATAATTCGGTATTTGAACTGGTATTTAAAATCCAATCATGATCAGTTTAAGTGTAATATCTAGCATCAATTATGGTCCAAGAAATCTGTTATTAAAACCTTCTAGGTAACGACAAAATAGTGTGTGTTCAATTCTCCTATGAAACAAGGATTCAGATGATTTCAGATAAGTAAGTTAGATGTTATTTAACTGAGCATCACATATTAGAAATCATATCAGTGTGATCTTATCGAATCATGGGCTAACATATTGAATAAAATCTTATGTAGTGTGAGTAGTAATTATTATCAAATGTCCTTTCAACTTGAAAAGTCAAATGATTCATTTTCACCGTAAGCATATGAACGTTTCGTGATCACTGCTTGTTAAGTTAAAGTAATATTTAGTAGTTGTTGTGATGCATTCATAGTCTCTTGGTACTTCTCATTTAACCTGCAATTTAAAATTTTCCGTATCTGTTGTCTAATTCATCACCTAATTATCTGAAATATTACAAATAGGTAAGCGAGAAAATTGTTCGCATGCGCATATAGCAGTCAGTCATTTGATCGTGTAGCTAAGTGCATCAAGCTGCCTCTAACAATGATACAACGTGCCTAATGATGAGTAGTAGGGAGATACGCTACATATGTTTCGTTCTGTTTGGTATTCGTCATTTGGGTGAGCCTGTATTTCAGTGATTCAGTGGTATTCACCACTTCAAATGCCAGTGTCTTACATTAAAATATTAAGTCTTAAAAGCTGTTTCATATATATTAGAACTCCCTTTCTTATCTGTTAATAAAAGTACTAATAAATGTCCCCTTTACTTTAAATATACATTGAATTAGTTGATTGTACCAGTGAGTAGAACTGTTGCGGAGGTTCATCGGCTTAGATCAATACATTTCATTTCAGAACAAAACAAAAAAGTCGATAGAAAAGAGAATAAATAAGGCAGATAAATTCAAGTTTCCCAGTTTTTTCCTATTTCATTTGGAGAATTTCATCTAGTGATATGTATATGCCTTATATCTTATTTTACTGATTGGTTGTATCGAAAAAAATTCTATGAACATATTTATCGCTTACAGAGACCTACCAGTCAGAAGATACATTGTGATGCTTACTAATTAACTTTGAACTTTTAGAATCAATCGAGATTATCACTTCTTATTAACCTAATAAACAAAGGCACTGTTAATGGTAGTTTTCAACACGCATCGCAAGTTTACTGTACTTGGAAGAAGAATGCTTCGAGAGATGATTCCTGAAGTTCCAATGAGAAATCGTGACAAGTGGAGTCAGTTAAATCGAACATGAGGACAGTTATTCAGCGACGACACTAGATGGACGTTGCGCTGTATCGTGAACTGATAGAAGTAGGAGATGTGAACCACTGGATTCCTACTCGCTGGCTAAATAGTAAGGTATTGACCGCGGAACCTAAAGGTTCTTGGTTCCACAAACCTCCAGACAAAAAAGAATGCATCCTCAGGAGCAATAATGTTTCTAACAAATATGACCACTACGCAAAGTTAACAATTCACTTTAGATGTTATAGTCCTCAGTTAAAATCCACTACATGGGATTAAGTGGACTACTTGTTCATATAATTGTACATATCTTTCTTTTACAGTGATAAGGAATACCAGCTTCACTCATTGGCTTGATCGGACTCATTCATTCTCGGATTATAGAAACTAATATTCTACAATACAATTCTCACTGTTAATCAATCCTCAGTTGAGTTCCATTGATTTACAAATTCAATTCCTAAAAAAATATTCATATCTAACAATAAAAGTGTTCTTGAAAACTTACCACAAACAGAACAATGATTTTTATTCAACTCTTCAGAATTTTGTTTTTCTTGACGAAGTGCTGCAAATGTGTCCACGATTACACCAAATATTAAATTTAATATGATGACTATTACAATGACAAAGAATGATAGATCGTAAATTGTTCGAAAAATAAATGAGCTATCCTAAAATCAAAAGTCAAACAAGAATCGACATTAGGTTAAATAAGTAGAAAATTGTATTTAGTGAATAAGAATTCAAGTTTTTTGAAAATTGGTTACTCTTTATTATCGCCTTCCAGATGTAAGTACTGACATTTGTACCTTTCATTTCAATTTTATGATTTGATTGTGTTTGTCGTAGAATGACAAAAGATTTATTTTATTGCTGATTTCAGTTGAATTAAGCTTCAGTAACTTTATTGGCAAGTATTATAACGTTTACTTGTTCAAGTATGCAGGTATTTATTCAATGATGATACAAAGTTTGAAGAAAAACCTCCTGAGAACAGTTAATGTGAAGCCATCAAATTATGTAACCAAATGGACAGTCGGCTGAATTGTTTCAGTAGGTTTCATGTTCTCCTTAACAAATATAGCCGTTAGTAGTTTTGCGGACTAGGAATCAATAAATGTGAGTTAGGCCCAAGATTGATAATGAATGTGAATAAACGTTTGAAATTCTAGTCTGAAGTTCAATAAACCTTCATTTAGGCAACTTTATCAGTAGTTAACATTAAACAATTTTTCGAACTTAAAACCACTCATCATTTTGTGCTGTAAACACAAGAGCTAGTCACTAGTAGCATAAAGTAAAGAAACCACGAATCAGAAGAATTTCATCATGCTGAAAGTAGACTCTTGAGTGTAAAAATAGAAACTAAGTCTTCAGGGCATAGACAAAATGGAAACGATCAAGAAAAATTTCTTGCTCTCCAGTTCAGTCATTATTAATGTGAGATATATTGGGAAGATCATATCCAAAATATTAAAGTGTTATTCACATATACAAGCATGATTCAAGTTGTAGACTCTACTTTGTTTTCCTATTGGTTATTATTTATCCCTTGACTCCCTAGTGGAACGAAAGGATTACGTAGCACGTCCCCATTGCACTCTGTTCTCTCCAGTCTTACCAACCTCCATCCACCACTACACACAAGCTTTCATTTCCTCCTCACATACCATCTCCTCCATATCACCCTCACCTCGGACGCCCAACTCGTCGTTTCCCATCTGAGTTCCACTCCACCACCTGTACTGACCTGACGCTTAATGTCCACAGTCAGTCCCCTCAGTGTATGCCCAATCCATCTCCACTTTCTTCTGTATATTTCTTGGGTGATAGGCTCTGCTGCGTTGGTTCGTTGCCCAGCCAGAGTGAGTTTATTGTTGATTATTGTTTCTGACCATCTGAACTTCAGTGTCAGTATCGGGTAAGCTAGCGTAAACGGCAGCTGTTTATGAATGTCTGCAGTGTGTTGGAAAAGCTTTCCGTAACGCTCCAAGTTTCAAAGTCATGTAGAGGCATTGACTTCACTGAATTAGTGTTGAAAATAGGGATATTGTTCACACTTTATGCTGAGTGGAGTGGATTGCAGTGCAGTAGATCACAACACTGATTTCAGATTGATGAAGGGATGTCTTGCTGTCTTTCTGATCATGGCTTACATATTGCAGTTGTCTGTAGAGTTTCTCTTCTTCACTTGATCTCCGTTATTTGTAAGTGCATAGCGTAGATTACCACTGAATGATTGTGACCTCCCTTTCTTTCGAGTTGAATCCATCCTGCCGTCATTATCCTGATCCTGCAGAAAGAGATTGTTTCCCACTGCATGAGAGCGAGTCTTCAATGTTCTTGGAGACATCATTATAGCCACTGGAAAACTCAGTGTGCTCGTGGTTAACGTCTGGGTGACAATGTCGGAGTAGATTATTGACTCTCCAGTTAACAGCAGTTTGGGGAGTCCACCTCCATTCTATCTGCTTTTGCAGATTCCTAGCCTAGCACTTCTGTGCCATAACTTCTCATCTCTTCTGCAATCTAGGCAGTCTTGTCAGTCAGCTTCAAACATTGTTCGAACATTCCATATCCCCATTCTTACTTTCGCTCTCATCGAGAGAGATAAGACACACCGGCTGACTGGCTTTCTGAAAGCCTTCACCAACCGGCGTCAATTCGACTCTCCGATTTCAGTGAGGAATAAGTTAAATTTTGTTTTTAATATTTTGTTTGTGCTTTTAATTTTTTTCAGCGGTTAGATTAGTTTTCGAGTTGGGGGGGGGGCCGTGCTAGCCGTATGCCGAACCTTCACTCTTTATCCGGGCTTAAGACCGGCTAGTACCTAGTGAACTCGTCAACCTGGCAAGGTTGTAGAGTGGATTATTGTTTATACGTAAATTTTTATTGCAGAGTTTACACACAATGATAAGTTTTTATTTTGGTAATATTTCAACTAATGAAAAATGATTCACAAACAAAGTTAGCAGATCCATTGTACTTAGTCAACTCGCAGTAGAAGACGTATTAGTTGGAGTAGAAATCTGCTTAGCAATGAGATTGATCACACCTACTGGAAAGCTGTATGAAGAATAAGGAGGAATAGCAATGGAATCGCCTATCTCACCAATAACAGTGTATATATTTGTGGATTTTTGAGAAAACAACACTTTAAAACTACTCAAATTGTCCAGTAAAGATATGTTGATGATAGATACTCTTGTTATAATAAATAAGAAGTATGTTGAAGGATTCCATTCACATATAAACAGTCAGTTGGGCTCAATAAAATGCACCGTGGAAATTGAGAATGATTTGTAGGAATTTCGAATGTCGAACTGCAAAACGAAAGAAAGAGTAGATGTGACTGTAAAACAAATGCTATATGGGGAACTAATGTATTGTGAAAGGCTTCTGAATTACCACTCAGCCCACCCAACCACAGTAAAATGAGGGTTAAGACAGGGAATGGCAGACAGGATACGCAGAATAACAACGTGGCCTGACGACTTACGAAAATAAATAAATGTCTTGTTCAAGATATTATTGAAGAATCACTACTCACAACAATTCATAAAATATGTTGCATCAAGAAGAAGGAACAAAAGTCGACAAGAAAGATGACAACAGGAAGACAATTAGAAGAGACCTTAGAAAGACTGGTATTTTCACAGCATTCAAACCAATGAATTTGATAAGAAATAAATTGAACCATCTAAAAGATCCGGTCAAAGCATTAGACAACAATAATGTGGTATACAAAATACCGTCTACAGACTGTCCAACAAGCTGTGTGGGACAAATATCAAGTTCGTTGGAAACCAAACTGTATGAACGTCGAAGATCAACCGAGGGTTAGTCCAAAGAGGGACGAATGTACAAAAATCTAGAGAAAATGTTCATTGATAGCAGCTCATGAAAGGGACGATAAAACATAATATCGAGTGGAATAACACTAGCATACTGAAGTTCAACACAAACAAATGGGAGTAAAGAATAAATAACAGAAACAATATTTATCCATGTCACTCCCAACACATGCATTTAAGGTGAATGAAGACAACTGTCAACTCTATGGAACAGTGTATTGAACAAACAGGCTGACGAACAATGAGTGAAGACTAGATTGCAAAAATATTCCAACAGTTGGTGTGATCACGGGCAGCGATTTTGCTTGAAATATTACCAAAATATAAACTGATACGTGACTTATAATACTTGTGTTTACCTGTCTGTTATTGTCCTTGAAGATATATTTTCTTGTTAGTGCCTCACAGAGGTGAGAAAATTGATCAACCCTGTAAACAAATTAGCTAAACTTTGCCCAAATCGATCAACAGTGGTAATAATCATGGGTCACTATTCTTTCTTCTTGTTGACGGTCATGTGAAAAATTGTCTTCAATAGTAAGCTATTTATTGTCTACTAGCCTGCCTCAACCTTGTGGCTTGAGTAGCCTAATGGTTAGCCTAATGGTTAAGTCGCCGACTTCTGTACTAATTGATTCAAGTTAAAATCACAGGGGCAGCTGCAGAACTCTGATGTTTGCGAATCCGTATTTCTGATAGGTGTCAGGAGGTAGGAAAGCTAGGTTCATGGCTTACTGCCAACTGACTCCCACTATTTAACACTGAAATACATATTTTAGTGAACACACTTCACTTAACTTGAATTAGGAGGCATAGTTATTTGGTTATATTGAGCCTTTGCTTCATAATCTCTTATTCTCAGTTTATACAACTGTTATGTTGCCTTTAAATATGGAATTTATCTAAAATGACAATCTCTTTGACCAGCCTTCCTGTCATCTTCAGCTAGTAGTAGTTGCAGTTCCCCTTAAATTACACTTGAAAAGCAAGTGACTTTTGAAAGCATAAAAAACGATGCTAAAATATATTTCAAACAAATTTTGATGTCCATCGGTCACAAAACACTACACATTGGTTTACTGTGAAAACTGCACACCTTTTAACTCTACTTCAATATCATCCTTCTTGTGTCAGAGTACTGTTGACAAGTGTTGGAAATGGAATAATAAACTTTTTTGAAAGTTTCTACTTTGATTTCTCTGTGTGTCTGTCTAACTGATGTTGGTGTTGAAGGGAATATAGCAGTGTGCTTGATTCAGCCTTTGAACGATAAAAGATGTATTTATCCCTGGAAGTGGTTATTAGTTGATGGTGATTACTTCGGTATTCATGACTGCTTAACTCTCTCGAATTATCTGAATGTCATACTTAGTATAATGATTATCCAGATATGCCTAAGAAATTGCTATTTGAAAACTAATTAATCCATTGAATTTAGTTTAAAATTGATAGGCAACTGAAATTGTTAACGGATAGAGGAAATTTTGCACAGAATATTCAATAAGGATGTAAAGTAATTAAAATTGGCATTTATTTTGTCGTTCAATTTTTAAACAATTAATTGTATGTAAATTACAAAATTAATCCATTTTTACTGCATACTAGTTAACTGATGAATTATTTCATTCCCTTATGAAATGCATAATTTACACACGGTCAAAGACACACTTGTCAGTGATTTGTTTCCCCAAATTGTTCATGGTTCATTTTTTTATTCACTTGGAGAAAAACATATTTATTGGTTCAACTTTTATAATGTAATATTCTTCTGGTTGATTACCAACTAGGGTCAAATTTCAACTTTATTATCTACCCAT